GAGGTGGAGTGGGAGGGAATCTCCAGAGTGCCCAAGATGGAAGCCACAGTCTCTTATTAAACCTGTTCTCAGAAGTGAATAGGTTACTTCTGCCTATGCTGTTGGTTACACAGACCAACCAGGGTGTGAAATACCAGGAAGTGAGCCACCTGTGAGTTCAGATACCACAGATGGCTCTTGGTCTTCTGAATTTTTTTTCCTAACTTAGTGCGAAGCTAAATTTAGGAATAATTCAGACTAATATTTCCCCAGAACTTATCAGGAGAAGGTTTTTCTTCTATTTCAAAGAAAGGGCCTTCAGGAACTATAAGTTATGCAAACAGGTATAGATCCCTGAGAGTATATTTTATTGTGTTTTAAGTAAGTATACTGAAGATGAATGTTTATTTTTTAGACTCAAGATATGGCATGAAGGGGGAGAGCCTTTCTCCTAAGTGAGTGTGATGCATTTTTAGCTGATAAGCAGTAGTCAAAGCACAGCTAGAATTTCAGCCATGTCTGAATGTTTTAAGTAGCAAAATGCAAGGGACCACTCTTTTCTTAGTTCATTTAATCAGTTTGCATTTTCAGGAGAATGAAAATGAGAAGTGCTGAAATTCAAAAGAATCTTAATAGGATTGACATTTATTAAGTGAGGTGACTCTCTGTGCATCAGCCATGTTTTAGTGGCCATTCAGGGAGGACATGGGCTTAGGAGATACACCACCCTCGCTCTGATATTTGTTCACTGTGTAATGTTGGGCAAGTGCTTAACTTCTCTTAAGTATCATTCGTTTATCTGTGATACGACATTGACATAATTACCTCATAGAGTTTTGGGGCGGAACAAATGTAATAATGAATATATGGCACTTAGTACTTTGCCTGGCTGGTAGTAGAACTCCATAAATGATATTACTGGTATCAATAATTAATCGTAACCTTCTATATTAATAATTTCCCTAATAAACTCAATTCAAGTACCAAACCCTTTCTTGAGACATTTGAAGTTTAGATAATCTGTTGAGAGCAGTGTCTCTCTCTGTCTCTTGGATGAAATCCAGGTGCAGGTAAAATACTAGATTTCATAGGCTACATTTTATTTTCCATTTAAAATGAAAATAGATTGGAGACCCATAGAATTTTTTAAATTGAGGCATAATTGAGAGCCCTGTAGAATTTAGATTACTATTTTAATAAGAATGTCAGTGAGAAAATTACTACTATTAGCTTCTAAAATAATAATGTTTGGGTACATATAAGAAATAGCACCCTAGAAGTAGCTTTCTAATCTTTCATCCTTTGCCTTTGCATAGTGCTCTAGTGTTCACAAAGTGGGTTCACATGCCTTATATCATCACATCCTCAGAATAGTCCATCCACATTTGATGTGCAGGGAAATAGGATTAGAGAGGTAAAATGACATACCACAAAGGCCATGCAAGGGGAAACAACAGAGCTGGTTTGAATGAGTTCATTCCATTTATGTAACTTGTATTGAATGTTGGTCATGAGCCAGGTGCTATGCTAGGCATTGGGGACATTGAGATGACCAAAGTATTTCCTTTCCAGCCTGGATCTCTCTCTTCTGTGGCTATAGGATCTCCTTTCTGCCTGGGCTAGGCAGAGAAGGAGGATCTGTACAACACTTGAGTAATTTCAGTTCTACCAGTTTGCCTGGAGTTCCAGTTGCCTTCTCTTGGTTCCTGGGATCTGGAGGCCTGAGACTGTTTGAGGCCTTGCTCGGCCCTGGCAAGGGAGTGACAACTCTGCCCCTGAAGGCTGGTTCTATCCAGCAAAGTACACAGTTTCCTCTCCACTGAAGTGGTTTCCCTTAACATGACATCCCTCCATCCTTCTACTTTGTTCATCACTCTTGATGGGGGTTCTTAACTTTGGCAGTACTGATATTTGGGGCCAGATAACTATGTTATGAGGGCTGTCCTGTGCGTTGTAGGGTGTTTAGAAGCATCCCTGGTTTCTACACAGTAGATGCCAGTAGGACATAAACTCCCTTTTCCCCTCTCCAATTCTCACAAAAATGGTTCCAGACTTGCCAAATGACCCACAGAGTCTGTGAGGGCCAAAATTGCCTCTGAGCCAGAAATGAAGGAAGGCCACAGGACTGGACAACTTTGGCCTATAACTTGAAAGGGGAAATATTTGATTCTACTTTATAGCTAGCACTACATATGGCATGCTGCTTCATAATGTTTATGTTATTTTTCTTTTTGGTTAATTATGCTAACAGTTTCTTACATATTAGATTTCTACAGTGCAAGTTCTGAGGAAATAAATTTAGCAGGTGCTGTCAGATGAAATAGTCATTTCCAGATACTGGTAGAATGATGATACTTTTATGTAATAAGTGTTCTGTAAGACATAAATCATTTTCTCAATGAAGAAAATACATATCTTCCTTGACCATAACCTTAAAACCTTGGTGATAGTCCTATGACATCATTACTATGACTCTGATTAACTGTATATAGAAATTCATAGAAGAGATTAGTTCAAGCTCTTTCAAGAACAGTGAGTCTCCTTAAATGCTGTTGACAAAAATAGAAAATGTATAGTGACAAGAAGGTTTTAGGTTACGAACACCTTTCTTGATCCAACACTTTGAGCTTGCCTCCTTTATTTAGAATATGAGGAGAGAATGGAATCCATGCAAAGAAGGAACAAGGAAGCGCTGTATCTGTAGTACTTACCAGTGGCTGGAGATGAATGGGGAAAAGAATTGATAGACTTTATAAAAAAGCAGCAGTTTTAATTGGGAATGTTCAAATAGAGGGGACCATAGACATTGCAGAGTCAAACTTATAATACATGTAGAGCAGGGATCAGCAAGCTTTGTTGGTAAAGAGCCAGGTAGTAAATAGTTTAGGGCTTTGTGGGCAGTATGTTCTCTGTTGCAACTACTACGCATTTGTGTGAAAGAAGACATAGACGATATGTAAATGAATGAGTGTGGCTGTATTCCAATAAAAATGTACTTATGGACACTGAAATTTGGATTTCATATCTTTTCCACATGTCACAAATGTTCTTTTGACCCCCCCCCCCC